GTAAATATTGTTGTTATGTTTCTGTTTTGGGGCATAAAACCATTTCACTGATACTGTTTGTGACACGGCCATCCTGGACAGCTGTGGCTTGAGTTACTCACCTGTACAGTAAGAATGTTATGAGTTGTTTATAGTGAATGTGAAATGTTAGTATTAGGTTATTAAGGGATGTTTAAAAAATTAATATTCCAACTTTAGAAGGTCTAGATGTTCTCTTTCTGTAATACTTTGGTTTTGTATTCTCTGTTGTACAGGGTTTGCATCTATTTGAAAATGGAATAACTTTAAATATTCATACATTCCAGCAAAGTTCTGTGTAATTTCAATTGTTAGTGTGTTTAAGGGACTGGTCATTTTTCATAGGGAAGGGGGCTTATGCAAATAGGGGGTTGGTCACCAATTTTTATGCAGGGAGAAAAGGGGGGGTCATATCAATTTATACAAGGACTTGCCAAAATATCATCAGGACCTTAGCCACGATAAGTGAGGCAGTTGCCTCGGTAAAATGTCACAAATTTACCTCAAAAGGCTGAAAACCGCATTTCCAAAAAGAATTTAAGGAAGCATGCCTCCCCAGCCCACCTAGTGATTCCTGCCTTTGATTGCGTCATTAAGCATTTCAGACTGGTTACCGTCCTGATCAGTAGGTTTATCTGTCATTACTTATGCGACTTAACCTCTAATAACATTAACACTGGCCTAATAAATTTAGTTAACATTGATGAAAATAGTTTCAGTATAAAATGATAATATTTCTTATTTTCACGAACATTGCAAACCCATCGACTTATGGAAAACATACTCTAGTAATACCTCAAACACAACTCTAGATCTGTGGCAACAATTCTCAACAATAGCAATGTATTCATCAATAATAATGTACATGTGATTTTCTTTTGCTTTGTCAATACTGGTGATACTTTATGAACATCATCAGGACTTAGTTGTCTACATGGCTGGGCTAGCTAGAATTCAGAATACCTGCCCCACATAATAGTTTTGTAGTGAGAATGTTGTTATGTGACTGTCATTATCATCTTTATTATCTCTATCATCACTATCATCATAGCTGCTATCATATTTGCTATACCTGACCCACATAATAGTTTTATAATCTCTATCATCACTATCATCACTGCTTCCATCATATTTGCTATACCTGGCCCACATAATAGTTTTATTATCCCTATCACCACTATCATCACTGCTTCCATAATATTTGCTATACCTGGCCCACATAATAGTTTTATTATCTCTATCATCACTATCATCACTGCTTCCATCATATTTGCTATACCTGGCTCACATAATAGTTTTATTATCTCTATCATTACTATCATCACTGCTTCCATCATATTTGCTATATCTGGCCCACATAATAGTTTTATTATCTCTATTATCACTATCATCATCGCTTCCATCATATTTGCTATACCTGGCCCACATAATAGTTTTATTATCTCTATCATCATTATCATCACTTCTTCCGTCATATTTGCTATACCTGACCCACATAATAGTTTTATTATCTCTATCATCACTATCATCACTTCTTCCATCATATTTGCTATACCTGACCCACATAATAGTTTTATTATCTCTATCATCACTATCATCACTGCTTCCATCATATTTGCTATACCTGACCCACATGATAGTTTTATTATCTCTATCATCACTATCATCACTGCTTCCATCATATTTGCCATACCTGACCCACATAATAGTTTTATTATCTCTATAATCACTACCATCACTGCTTCCATCATATTTGCTATACCTGCCCCACTAAATAGTTTTATAGTGAGAATGTCGTTATTATCTTTATTATTTCTACATCACTATCATCATCCCTTCCATCATATTTTCCATCATTTGTTTCTGTATTATTTATGGGGGGTTAATAACAAATTGTGCCTCACAATTATTATAGGTGTTTGCACATGATGGTGCAAAACCTCTATTGCTCCAATACTAGTGTATTATTTTCTTCTGCTACAGTATTTCTGGGATCAGATTATTATCACTGGATCCAGCCTGGACCCATCACCAGTATCAACAGTACTGACAGAAGCTAAGGCACTGCATGACTGGACTATGAGGTAAATATATTGTTAAGTAAATCTATTCTTCTAACATTCAATTACTTGATTAGAGTGAGAGKTGACAATGAGAGATGTGCTTACTGAGGGATGGTTAGTGGAGGGGTCTATGCTGATGAATGGAGGGAGGGGTGACACTGAAGGAGRGGGTGATCACTGAAGGAATGGATGCTGGTGAATGGAGGGAGGGGTAACACTGAAGGAAGGGGTGATCACTGAAGAGATGGATGCTGGTGAATTGAGGGAGGGCTAACACTGAAGGAGGGGATGATCACTGAAGGGATGGATACTAGTGAATGGAGGGAGGGGTAACACTGAAGGAGGGGTTGATCACTGAAGGGATGGATACTAGTGAATGGAGGAAGGGATAACACTGAAGGAGAGGGTACTCACTAAAGGAATGGGTGCTGCGAAAGGAGATGCTGGTGAGGAGAGTTGACCTACATTTATTAGCTGCTTCACARGTACTAATCATTCAATACAATTGCATCCACAGTTTGTGTTCTRGATTAGATAGTTCTCTTCCTACACCACCCCACCCTCCATATATTATTGCAGCATCCATCTTCTTGGTTATAAGCAAGTGTGACAGGTTAGTACTGGGAGATTTTCTATTACAGTAAAAACTCACATAAAAGAACAAGTGGGTTAAGAACACCCAGCCTAACTTTTGGCGTTTTTTTAGTACCATGTAAATAAGAACACAATCAGCCTGAAAAATTAAAAAGTGTTCTTAAAAAAAATAAGATCAATATTACCAGTAGCAGACTCCATGCCTGACCTGACAATAATTTATTTTTCTACTGTTTTGATAGTTATTATTGCAGTCAAGATTTTTTTAATAACATTTTTGAACTTACACATTGATATCATCTACATGTATTGGTAGTCTATATGGTAATACTGTATATATTTTAGGAACATTTATTTTAAGAACACCTTAAGAACACCTTCAGGCTGATTTTTCAGTAAACACCCGTTAAATAAAAACAAAATCAGCCTCAACTCCAAAAATGGGTGTTCTTTTAAATATGTGGGTTTTTACTGCATCTGGTAACACCAAGGTGTGTTGATATAAATATACCTACTTCCCAACCCCTCCTTCATATAATAATTGGCAGTTAGTCCTTGAGCCCAAATGGGCTGTTGACTCACAGGYCATGAGGGCGAGAGGGCTAATATTGKTTTAGTCAAATCCAACTAGTCAGTCAAATATATAGATGCAAACAAGTTTTGAATGAATGTTAAATCAATTTTAACTAACACTTTTCACTACTTTTCACCACTTTTCAATTTTAACTAACACTTTTCACTACTAGTGGGGTATAACTTATAGCCTATTAGTAACTCATCCAATCAGAACCCAGCATTGATAGACCCTTAGTTGGATTTGACTAAAATCAATTGTARGAGCCCCCGTTCCTTGCCATTTGTCATGTAACAACGTCCAACAGACAGTTGCCTGAAGACCACAGGGGTTAGTCTCTGACAATGTATGGGCATTGATAAACTATGWCCACTAAAAGATTTATTTTTGTACTTATGTGTAATTCAACTTCATGACTTGGAATTTTCATACTTGTTAAATCGATTATAGTTTCTTTAATTTACAGCTTGGTTTGTTTTTATTTTCTGGTAACACCAAATTTAACGATAAAACTTTAACTTTTCTTCCTCTTCCCCCTCCATTAAGAAAATAAATCAATGATAGCTTTGAATTCCTTGATATTATTTCTGTTAAATATTTGTAAGATTCTTCCTGACCTTAATATTGTAAATAATATAGCGGCTAATTGTGTCATTCAGGTTTCTGTTATAA